GATGACGATATGATAGGACTATGGGACAGAGATTGGAGTGATGTGGTCACAAGGCAAAGGACGCCAAGGAATGCCGGCGCTGGCACCATGAGAAGCTGAAAGATACAAGGAGCCAATTCCACCCCCAAAGTTTCTGGAGGAAGCACCGTCCTCCTAACACCTTGATTTCAGACCTCTAGTCCCCAGACTGCGAGATAATACATTTCTGTTGTTTCAAGCCACCAAAGTTGTGGTAATTTGTCACAGCAGCCCTAGGGAACTAATACCTCATCTTTGGGAACAAGAGAAGCAAAGACTTAAAACAGATGAGCATAGGTAACATAGGTAATGGTGTTAAATGCTAGGGCTTAAGAGATGTGAAAATGAAGAATGAGGGGAAGCCATTGATGTGATAGAGGGTAATGATGACAGCTAACTTGTCACCCAAGCAAGTGCTGGATTCCAGGCGCTGCCGTAAGACCTTCAGAGTCTTCATTCACTCTCACAACAGCTCTATAAGGTATAAACTGTGGTTATCCTCATTTTGCAGGTCAGGAAACTGAGGCACAAAAAGATTAACTTGCACTAGGTAAAACAGCTGTGGCCAACATTTGAACCCAGAAACTCTGACTCCAGCACCCACATTTTAATCACCCACCATACTTTGCTGCCATCCCTAAGGGCATGTGTTTGTCAAGGTCTGACTTCAGATCTTGTATCAAATAAGGGAGATGATATGTTTCCAGAGAAAAAAGTTATTTTGAGTAAGATGGAGGGAAGATTGGAACATTGACATCGCCTGGGCTCCATCTTCTCAGCTGAGATGGAGAGGCAGCTGCCTGCTGAAGCTGAGGCTACTTCAGGCCTCAAGGAGTCTAGGAAAGATGGCGGAGGTATAATGAAACAGGAAGCACTAAATAAATGCTCAGTGTCATTTCCTTGGCTGGCTCTTGACCCTGTGCCCTGCCCATGCCCAAGGAGCCTTTGCACCATGTAGATGCCACGGGCATGGGGAGAAGGGGCTGAAGGGGGACTATCATCTCACATCTCTGTCTGGCAGGTGAATGACAGTGCCAGGGCATTGCGTGACAAGGGAGAACTGCAGGATTAGAGACTGATGTGTTCCCTGAGGGTCTGAAGCACTGGAAAGGCTTCAAGGGAAGGTGCAGTTTCCGCTAGTTCTCAGTGACTGAGGAGTGTGATAGCTGGTCAAGGACCCGGAGCACAGTTCAGCATGGATGGAAAAGGTGGCGGGTACTGCAAACGACAGCTCTGTAAGTGTTGGGTCAAAGGGCTGCCAGCATGGTATACCTTCCAACCTCACCTTGATGGATTATATACCTTCCAACCCAACTCTGTTAAATGATTCAGAACCACTACAGACTTGCAACAACTAGCCTAGGTTCTGCTATTTAATTCATTGGACTACATGGCTTAGTGGAAAAGGGCAGGGTTAAGATTCCAGTTCATTAGTTGTTGTGTGACCTTGGACCAGTAACTTCCCCTCTTGATCCTTTGGTTTTCCATCTGTAAAATATAGATACCAGTTATCTCTTTTAGGATTGTGCTGAGGCATTAACGGGATGGCAGTCGATATCTCAGCACAGCACCTGGCATTTAGTAGACAACCAGTATCAACATTTGTTTCCTAAAGTAATTAAGAACAAATTGTATGATGCACTTGATTGGTTGACATCTGAAGATGTGATTGCTGCATCTCCTATAAATGTGAACCTTTTCATATATCAGGAGTATGTTTTCTGTCTTGTGTACTTTTTGTTTATACATCTCTCTCCTCCATGGACTTGGCCATTGTGTGAGGAGAGGTCTGATGGGCCAGCTGCTTTAGCTGTGCCTCTGAGAATTCCTAATTCTTGGAGGACCTGGATGGATTTGCTCAGCTATTTAGCGGTTCCTCCCAAATTCCTCTGTAATGTACCCAATTTCCTCATCCATCTTCTGTAATACTCATGAATTCCTTTTTAGTTTTAACACTTTCCCCATAATCTCCATTATTATATATTTTAAAACATGGGATTCAACAGTTTCAAGCCCCTATGCCATTTATACCCACTGTGTAATTTTTATTCTCATTTCTGCCATTTTCTATTTCTTTGAGGGGAGTTATATAAGAGCTAGAAGCGCCACATTGATTCACAGTCCTGGTCCCTTCAGCTTAATGATCCTCTGCAGAAGGGACAAGAAGCAGTGTTTGGGGAGAGAGGTCTATCTCACATTCTCAGGCTGAGACCGCATGTACCGTCTGATGTTGATTTAAAACACCTGTCCCAGCCCCTTCATCTGTCACCCAGAAATCTGTCTTCTCATGGAATTTTAATGGTTCCACAGACGTTCACTTTTCACCTCCACGGAACTGTGGAGCCTACGGTGGTGGTGGGGTGCATGGAGGAGTGGAAGAATGCCAGGTCGATACTGTGATGCTAGTCCTGCCGATAGACACCAGGAGTCCAGGCCACTCACTTTCCCAGGCACCTGAGCATCAGAGCAGGGTGTGCCTTGCCAAGGGAAGGCTGCCAGACTGTCTCCCAATGGACAACCCAGCGTGCCCAACCTTACCTGGGTGAAATTCCCAGGACCAAGGCTCAGGCTCATAGTATGTAGGCTTAGAAACCAGACCTGGGGCAGACTCATATTAAGTAATTTATGAGAAGGTAGATGTGTGAAACCCAGGCCATCAGCTTGTTAGCCCACACGGAACACCCAGGCTGCCAGGTAGACGGGGCCACCCGCTCCCTGCACTGGAAGCCAACTCCCAATTCACAGGTTGTCTGATAAGTGCTGTCAGAGAGTGGATAACGGAGAGTAAAATTGTGTGCCCGCACTGTCTGGCCATGCATGTGGAACTCTTGAACTTTGGGGTTGTTGCCTGGATGGTCACTGCCCATGTTTGTCTCTATTATACTTGTTTTGTTTGTTTGTTTGTTTTAATGCTTCCTTCACTGACCAAACCTCATTGTGATTCGAGTTATCCTTTCTGAAAATGTGTTAGAATTTACAAATTGGACAAGGTCGCACCCTTCCCGCCTCCCGCCCTGGGGAAATTTAAGTTAACTCTTTATACTTTGGATATGATTGCTGATTTACTGTTTACCTCTCAGCAAGTTTCTTGTTGTCCCTCATGTCTGGGTTTTTAGTAGACTTCTGTAGCCTTCCATTACTGGTTATGTGTAAACCAGTTGTCAATACACAAAGCCTGCCAGACTCAGTTTCCTCATCTGCATAAAGCACCAGATTAATTAGCTAACCACTAAAGTAACTTGTAACTCTAAATTGCTGCCTTCATGTTTCAAAAGATTCTTCTCGTAATAAAAAATACTGTGATTTGATGAAGCTATCTGTCCGCATCACATGGCCTGATTCCTGACCGATGCATTCCCCCTGTCTGGTTGACACTGTATAAGGCCAACACTTTTCCTTGGCTTTTTTTACAGAACAGGTCTGGATTCAGTCACCCACGAGTTGGAATTCCAGCTCTGTCCTCACCGTGTCCTCACATTTGGATAAATCATATTATTTTTCATCTATATTACTGAAGCTTCTAAAATGATTTTCTGATTCTCTTTTCCATCAGTAATTTCTTAGCTGGAATTCTGTAGTGAAAAAATTTCTTTTATCAGCTCTTTGATTACCTTGAAATATGGCTAATAAAAAAAAAGGCAAGACAAATACTTGCTTTCTCCCCCGCCCCTGCTATTTATCAATTTTCTAGGTAATGAATGATATTTTAGCAACTTCCAATGTTGATCAGTGTTTTTGTAACAAATATCTTTTTTTTATTTTTTAAAGATTTTTATTGGGGAATTGGGGAAGGGGAATAGCGCTGGGGAATTGGGGGAAGGGGAACAGACAAATTGCTGTTGTTTTTGTTCTTCAGTCTAATTGTGGAGGATGTTGCTTCACTGGCCCAAGTTGGCACCATCATTGCACTCTTCCTGGGTGAGGCAGATCAGTCGCGGGTTTCTGGTCGGCCGCTCACGGTAACTGCTGGCCGCTTATGCTGGCTGCTGGATACACACGGTAACCCATGGCAACCCACTGCAGCAAGAGCTGCAGCCTACGCTGTCGCTGGCGACTCACAGCAGCCCAGCTCCAGGTTGAGCTGTTGTTCAGCATCTTAGCTATGGAGGGCAGTGTCACTGGCCCTCATATGTGGGATCCCAACTCGGGGCCCTCTGGCATCCCAAGCCAGTTCTTAACCATTGTTCCACTCGGCCAGCCCAACAAATATCTTTTGAATTTAGAATTTAATGTATTTCATATGTATCAGTAGGTGTTACACACATTGATGTAATGATGTAAATTGATACAATCAAGGTTTTTTATAAGATTGCCATGACATCTGGGGTTTGCTTTAGACTACTCCAGCACCTAGAAAACAAACCAACAACAAAGGGATAAATGAAACAAGATTGGAAAAATCTTTTTTTTTTTCAGCTTTATGGAATAATCTTGATATTGGTTGAAGCTGAGTGGTGGGTACATGGGGTTCATTATAGTATTCTTTTTGCTTTTGATATATTTTAAATTTTCCCAGAAAGTATCTCAAAAGAGGTACATAATTCTAAGGTTATCAGACATGTAAATCTGAGTTCAGTCTTCAACTCTGGCCTCTACATGAATCCCATGGAGAAAGTTCATTGATTTTTATTGAAACTCTAGATACCCCAGACACGCTTCCTAATCTTTATAGCTCCTGACAATAGCATGCTAGATATGTATGTACTTTTCCAAGATTTGGGAAAGAATTTTAATATTTGACTTTATTGGCTCCTTGTTCATAAAACTCCTATCATGATAACTGAGGATATCGACTTTTGAATGAAACAGTGTTCAAGAAAAGAATGTAATGTGAAAATCAGTTGGTACCACAATTCTAACATCCCTTAAGAATTGGAAGCACAGTTGCTTATGCTTTGTGGATTTCACGCCAGAACGTTACCTGGCATTTTAGCCATTCTGAACTGACTTTTTCAATATAATGATGCTCTTTCTCATTCCAGGTTTAAGTTTATCTATTCATGGGGCTGAAAAGCGTTTGCAAATCCATCAACGGCGAAGTGTGGCAAGCCGCCCAGGGTCACGTCGTCGCCTGCCTGTGGTCAGGCATTCCTCACTCCCACCAGGTAGAAGGTCAATAAAAATGGAGGCAAGCTCTTCAGGAATCACTAATGGGAAAACCAAAGCCTTCCACCCAGGTAACGCGTTGGGGCAAGTTCACCACTAACACAGCCTGCATTGTGTTTTTATCTCATTAAGCCATGCTTCCGGTTATGCTAGCTTCCCAAGAGCCTTGTTGGATTGTTTTCCCTCTCTTCACTTCAATCAGTGGAAAATGTAACCAAGACCAATAAGAGAAGAGAGAGCTTAATGTAACAGAAAAGTTTAAGTCCACACTGTACCTACAATGGTAGAATAGAAATAAATGAAAACCTGAGTAAATAAACTTGCTCAATTAAAAACACCTTAGTATAGAATAAAATAAAAGAGAGATGTGGCCATTTTCTTGATAATTTGTTCTAGAGTAGCCCAGGGAAAAAGCAAACTGGAAACACCCGCTTTGAAGTCTAAGATACCTGCTTTGACTTGTTTGCATCCACCCGGTTGAGATTAGGGGAGAAGATTGGAGTTATATTGCGTTTCAAGGCTCTGGGAAGCATTTTAACATATTAAAAATGTTAAAATGCATCTATATCAAAGCAGGTAATTTCCAACTAAAAGGCTTTATTTTCTCATTTGGATGAAAGGCTCATTTAGACATTCATTCATTTATTCAACACATTTACTCAGTGCCTGCTATATCCTAGGCATTATTTTGGGTGCCGAGGAAACATCAGTGCACAAGACAACTTTTCTGTCCATCTGACTCACAGAAACATTGAATTTTGGGGGAATTCAGAAGTCATTTAGCATAACTCTCACCTGATCCTGATTCCGCTGGGTAATGTCCTGGCAGGTGGCCACCCAGCTCCAACTAAAGCCAAGCCTTTACCTCTAGCCATGTCCCACTATCCTCTTCCTCAGTTGATAACCTTATTTCCTAACCTCCCTGAGAAACCCCGGGGCCACTGGACATACATTACTGCAGATCCCTTACCCTCCATCTCTAAATGTATCTCTGTTTACTCCCATCCTTCCCCGCTTTCCGGCAGTGTTTAGAAGATGGTCGTCCTCCCAGTGTCCTTGAACAAGGCTTCACCTTTGGCTTTGGCCATCCATCCCCTCTTGAGCCTTGCTCAGGAGAATGTGTCCCCTCATTCTCATCTTTTCCCCATCCCTCACTGCTGGCTCTTTGCCCTTAGCCTATGAAACAGGCCTAAGCGTCTCCCATTCTCATCATCTTTACCTTACATTCTATCCTTTGCTCTTCTCTGCCACTCCCCCCCCCCCGTTCCTTCTAAGCGAAACATCTCAAAGAAACGTCTACTCTTGTTTCCTCTTCTCTCTCCCTTCCCAGCCACTTTTCAACCTAACACATCCTGGTTACTAGCTCCTCCACTCCATCACAGCTGTTTTTGTGGCCCTTAGTGACCTTTTGTCACAATGTGGTGAGTGGCAGACTCTTACGATGCACCAGACCAGGGTGGACCACCACTTCGTCTCAAAACAATGTTCTCTGGCTTCTATGACAGTCTCCATTTTGGTTCTACTCTTACTCCTTTCACATGTAATTGTCCTGGTTTCCCAATCTCCAGCATCTCTCTCTCTGCTGCCTGCCTGCTGTCCAACTGTTTACACCAAATCCAGAAGCGTCCATCGTCACCCTGACCATGTCATTCACCTGGCTTGTCTGGCTGCTTATAGGGTAAAGGTCAAACTTCTTAGCGTGTGCAAACAAGTGTCCTCCATGATTTACCCCTACTCCTCCTTAACCTTCGTTATTTGCCCCCCTTCTGCCTTAAACTTTATACTGTAGTGCAGGGGTCAGCAAACTGCAGCTCACGAGCCACATGCGGCTCTTTGGGTACTTTCTGTCTCAAAAGTTCGCCAACCCCTGGAAGAGCCAATTCTGTCCCTCACAACAATTTAAAAATTATTCGAGAGCCATAAATATATTTTTACATAATCACCATTATGTGAATAATATCCTTTAAAAATTTTATAAATGAAACTATGATAGTTTTATTTTCGTTTTCAATTTTACTTCAGAATCACATGTACGTAACCAAAGAGCTGCATGTGGCTCACAAGCCACAATTTGCTGATCCCTGGTGGCTCTTCCATCTCAAAAGTTCGCTGGCCCCTGGTCTAATATATCAGTCAGAGTTCAACCAGGAAAGTAGAACCAGTAGAAGATATATATGAGAGCTTTATTTCAAGGACTTGCCTTCCATGGTAGTGAGGCCTGTCCAGGCTTGTCTGAAATCCACAGAGCTGGCCATCGGGAAGGGCAGTCAGGAACTCTTGGGCACAGCTGAAGCGGCTGTCTGCAGGGGGAAATTCTTCTTCAGGGAGGCCGCTGCTTTGCTTGTAAGGCCTTTCCACTGATGCACTCAGTCCTTCCCAGATGATCAAGGATAATCTTCCTTAATTTTTACTGTTTATGCACTTTAATCACATCTACAAGACCCTTTCACAGCAATACTTAGATTAGTGTTCATTGAGTAACTGGAACTACAGTCTAGCCAAGTTGGCACATCAACTAGACCATTTATCAGACTAATCAGACACTTAATCATATTGACTTGCTTTCAGCTGTCCATATACATGGTGCTGTTTCATGTCTCCCAACCTGTGCTCGTGCTGCTATCTCTAGGATGTCCTGGTTTTGCTCCATTATCTTTCAGCATTTTAAAATTACCTGTCCATCTCTCCACCAAACGGTCATCAAGGACAGGGATTCTAGATCATTTATATTTGTTTCTCCAATAATATTCATACAGTGAGACTGAACTGAACTTTCATTAGCTGTTTTTCAGACTATTACAATCGCTTTCTTGTAAACAATTCCTTCCAGCTTTATTAGGGTGTCACTGACAAATTACAATAGTTTCCTAATCGCTCTACCTACTTTTCTTTCAACATATACAGAGGGTGCCAAAAAATGTATACACATTTTAAGAAAAGAAAAAACTATTAAAATTGTAATACTCAATATATACCGATAACAAAAGGTGAATACAAGTCACATTTGACTTCTGCAATTACAAGAGGTACTCAAAGGGGTTACCATCAGCGTGCAGACACTTCTGATTACGGCAAACTACTGTTTGAGCAACGTTGACCAAAGTGTCCACTTGTATACATTTTTTGGCACCCCCGGAATTTACTGAGTGCCTATTACGCTGCCAGGCATTCTTCAAATACTTCGAATACATCAGTGAAGCAAACAGACAAAGGTCCCTGCCCTCAGAAAGTTCACATACTAGCTGGAGAGACAAATACATAAACATAATGAATAGATGGATTATATAGTGTTTAAGAAGAGGTAAGTATTATGGATAAAAGAAAATGTAGGGGGATCAGGTGGTAGGATTGTCTGTTGCAACTTTAAATGAGATGATCCGGGCAGGCCCCACTGTGGAGGAGACGTGTGTTCAAAGGCTGGAAGGAGCTGAGAGTGCCGCGTAGACGGGCACATCCATTCCAGCAAGGGGTGGCCAGAGGACAGGCCCTAGGATGGGGATGAGTGTGGAAGTTGGAAGAACAACACAGAGGCCCCTGAGCCTGGAAGGAGGGGGAACTATCCGCTTAAAGAGGTCAGAGGGATCAGATGTGGCAGGGCCTGGTGGACCATTGTAAGGGCTTTGAACCCTGTGTGGATTAGGAGCATTTACAGGGTTTCAAGCAGAACAGTTTCATGATCTGGCTTGTATTTTAGCAGAGTCACTTTGGCTATTGTTTGAGAATAGACTACAGATAGAGAGGGTAAAAGGAGGAAGGTCAGATAGGAGGCCACCATAACAGTCCAGTCAAGAGGGGATGGTAACTCGGATGAGGGGTTGGGGATGTGTGCCGAAGAGGTGGTGAGAATTTGCTTTCTGGAAGTAGTTTAAAGCTGGATTAGCAGGGGTTTTTTTTCAATGGGTTGGATGTGGGGTAAGAGAGAAAGGAGAGCTAAGGGTGACCCCAAGATTTTTGGTTTGAGTGAGTTGGACTGATATCAACCGACGTGGAGAATGCTGCAGGGGAAGCAGATTTGGTGGGTTTTAAGGCAGATGCGGGACCAAGATCAGAAGTCTGACTGTGAGCATGATAATATTGAGAACTGGCAGGATCATCTGCGTGGTGGGATAAACATGTCTGGAGTTTGAGAGATTGGTCTGGGAAGGAGATACAAAATTGACTGTTGTTGACATTTAAATGGTGTTTAAAGCAGTGAGGTGAAAAGAGATGACAGAAACAAGAAGTAAAGATGGAGTACGGGAGAGGAGTAAGAGCTGGAATCTGGGACACTCTGATAGGAAAGGTAAACGAGAACATGAACCAGCAGCAAAGACCAAGAAAGAATTTCCAGCAAGGTTGGAAAGAAACCAGGGATTACGTGTCTTGAAAGTTAAGTAAAGAAAGTTTATCAAGAAGAGAGGAGTGATTATCTAGGTTAAATGTTGCTGAAAGTCAAGTCAGTCACGGTCTAAGAATTGGCCATTGATTTAAGTGAAGTGAAGATCAATGGTGATTTTGATAAGAGCAGTTTTGGTGAAGTGGTAGGAATGAAACCCTGACTAAAGTAGATTTAAGAGAATGGAAACATATGAATTGGATACTGTGAATATAGATGACTTTTTCTGAGCAGTGTTTCTGTGAAGGATAGTGAAATAGGGGAACATCTGGAGGAGACGTAAGGTCACAAAACAGTTTCTTTTCAAAATAGCAGATTCTCCAGCAGACAATTCCTGATGTTCGAGAGAGGGCTGAATTCATGATGCGGCTGTCAGTGAGAGAGATGAGAGCGATGCACAATAGAATCATGACGCGTTTATCTGTGATAACAGATGGAAAGGGAGACTATGTGGATGTTAGCTATGTGATGAGGATCTACGAATTTCTTTTCCCATTGTTTCGGTTTTATCTGTCATGTGGGAAGAAAGGACATTACTGAGACTGAGAATAGAGCCAGAGAGAGACAGAGAAAGTGGGAGAGAGAGAAAGAGAGGGCTATGGTGTGAGGATCTGCTGGGTAGGGGAATGGGATGCCAGCCACATTAAAGGGCCATTGAGGTTTATGGTCATGAAATTAAAGTAGGACGAATCACCG